TATATGCCTATGAGTTTCTATGTACACCTACACACACATTCACACGAAACGATATATGTATATTTCCATCTTTACACATATACACCTGCAGAGAAAACGCACATCCACATGTCTCCATACCTATCTCTATGTATACTTATACTTACATATATACATATACACACAAGGACATCTGCATATCCATATATACTCATACGCACACATATATATCTACACATCCATACGTATACACATATACACATACATACACACACCCATATATGCATACGTACATACATACATATACATACACACACACATATGCATACGCAATCTGCAGAATATCTACATACCCACATATGCGTTAATTTGCACTTACATATATCTATCCACGTATTTGTCCCTATTCTCATGTCCACCCGTGCATCCACTTATGCCTGCGTTCGAAGACTATCTCAGTATTTAATTACATTATCTATGTCTTTACACCTATAATATTACCCGATCTTTCATATTTATGGCAAAACATATAAGTACCTAACTAATTGTACATCTCCACACTCACAAAAACAAAAAACAAAAAACAAAAAAACTGGTATGCTTCTTTTTCCGTATAAAAACACATACATGTACATATCAACAGGTATCGCAGTGTGCAAATACATTATCATAGTTGTATACATACAGTCATGTGTTAGCGTTCACGTGTGCATAGTAATATTTCTAAAAACAACAGGGAATATAAAACATTCAAAATTGCTGTTCCTATATGATTATTTCTTAGTGTACTTGCTTAGGTTTAGGTTGTTTTTGTGCCGGCATTTAAAAACTAGTTCATTGTGTCTATTTAGTAGTATGTCTGGATCTTTATGTTTGATTATGAAGATTTTCTCCTTCAAACATAAGTTGCATCTGTCTCTGAAGTTTTTGGGAGTTCTGGCTCTTGATATTATTCTCCACTCTATTTGTGGTGTTAGGCCACTCTCCAACAAAAACCAATAATGATTTGATAGTGCTGTTTGTTTTTTTTTACATTTATTTTTGAAGGATTGGCGATGGTTGTATAGTCGGTGTTTCCAATCTCCTGCTGATATTCCAATGTATATCTTTTTCTCTTTAACCTTTTCTTTGGGGAAAATTGTTGCTTCATATATTGTGTTCTCTGCCATGCATATTCCTTCAACTGGGAACTTTGATCCTGTCCTGCAGTTGCATGTTGATTTTTCCATTCGTGTTGTATCCTGATTTTGTCTTAGATTATCCTGAAGGTCTTTCAAAATTTTACTGTTGTGTGAGCTAATAATTCTTTCCATATTGTTCATGCAAGAATAGCTAATCTTTAGATTCATCTTGTTGAATATTTTTTTCAGAGATGCATTTTTGCTAAAGTGTTTTTCTATCAGTTTTATGAAGTATTTACCTATATTAATATTGGAGAGGTTACAAAAAGGTGGGTTGAACCATATAATTTTCCTTTTCCTATTTTTGGGTTTAGTGGATTTTGTACTTACTGACTTATCTATGTAATTTAGTGTTTGCTTAAAATTGCTTTTTGACAGGGCTTTATTGTATTCCCATTTATTCTGGTTAAAAATGGTTTTACTGGAGGAAAGTTTATTTATTCTAGCATTTACTGTATTTGGGATTTGTTTAATTATTGATTTCGGGTGATTGGAGTGGATATTTATATATATGGGTGATTGGTTTTCCTTTTGGAAGGGTTTATAAGTATTATTGTTCAGATTAAATGTAACGTCTAGGAAGTTTACTATTTTTAAGTTGGAAGAAATCTCGATTCTAAATCCTAGAAATTTGAAGGCCCTAATTATTTTCTTTTGTAGTTGGGATGTTAACGGACCATTAGTATTAGGTACAGCAACTAACCCGTCATCTCTGTATAGTCCTATATTTTGAGGGTCAAGGAATCTACTTAGGATATCTAAAATGTATATACCTATTAGGTCTGCTATTTGAGCTGAATCAAAAGATCCCATTGGGACATCAAAATTGTCTCTATCTTTTTTAATCCAAGTAATATATATATATATATATATATATATATATATATATATATAAACATAAAAAATGTCTTAAAAATAATTTTTGGACTTTGTCCATTTCATGATGTATGACGTCATTTGTTTACATTTGGATACGCATTGAGCAGATATGAAGGAATGAGAGAAAATTTTAAAAACAGTAAAATCGACATTGCTAACCAAACGCTCCTCCGTGGCCCAAACGGTAAGGCATCTCAGGCTATATATATATATATATATATATATATATATATATATATATTATGAAATGGAGAAAGTCCAACAATTATTTTAAGACATTTTTATGTTTATACATTATTTTTATACATACAGACCATTTACTTAAATATTTGTATCTATAAAAAGAATGTATAAACATAAAAATGTTATTTATGAATTCTCATGCCCTTTCGGAGATTGTATCTCCAATATTTATTATAAACGAAGGAGGTTAAATACGTACATTGGCCACACATGCAACACACTTTCCCGTAGGTTGACTTGACATTTTTGAAAAATTAGAATAATTTCGCACACAAAGACCCAACTTTACATCAACAATACAAATTTTGATAGGTAACACCAATGCATATTATTATAACTGAGTTATCAAAAATAACAGTAGAAAACCGTAATTATTTATTACCTTTTGGTACAGGGAAACATAAGGTAGAATAGAACCTAGGGAAAATAATGTTTATCTGTAAATGACTATTTTCAGCAAAGGCTACTGCTGGAACTATTCCTCCTGATGTAGGAGTAATTTTACGTCTTTTGTCCGACGGCCGAGTTTGAACTTGTAGGGAAATATTCTCCCTCAGAAACACACACACACGCGCGCGCTCACACACACACACACATATATATATATATATATATATATATATATATATATATATATATATATATATATATATATATATATCACATATTGTGCTGGGAAAATAATGTTTGATGTAAATTATGGTTTATTTTTAATGTAAAGTACTATTTATTTGAATATAAATTTATGTTTTTTGTTTAAATCAGAGCAATCTCCCTTTAATTTAAATTTTTTTTTTAAATTAAAGAAAATTAAAATATGAGTACTCATCACTCAAAAATGTAATTTTTTTTAAATTTTCTTTTTTTACATACATATATAAATCCCGCTTATTTTAATTGCCAAATATGATTTTAAAATGAAAAAATTGTAATGCAAGCATAATATAAAACTTTGCCAACATTGTGATAACCAGATAGATTATAATTCAAATTGTGTAACGGTCAGTTTATACTAAGCACCTGAAGATTACGTTGTGCATGTATCCTTACTCACCACCGGAATATGGAATCAATTAACTTACACTACTCCACAAAAAACATCGTGAGTGCTGATAAAAGAGCTTTTTATATATATATATATATATATATATATATATATATATATATATATATATATATAAGGTGCGATGGACAAATTGTGTCCTAAATTACGCAAAAATGAAAATAACACTGACATCACATTTTAACAGATGAATTTACCAAAATTACACAAAAATATCTTGAAATAGTAAAGAGTAATTTTATTCAATAAAATCGCCATTGGCTTTAACCATGTCCTCCAGATGACTTCGGAATCTCATGCAATTCTTAAGGATTGTCAGAGTTGGTAAATACTGCCATAATGCTTACCTTTATTTAATCTTTGGTATTACAAGAGGTTTTGTTGGTCTCTTGCTCAACTGCACCCCACACACAATAATCAAGGAGATTGCAGTCTGAGGAGTTAGGTTGCCAGATGTCAGGGGTGATGCGGTTGCAGAAATTGTCTGACAGTCATGACTGGTTTCTCCTGCTAGCGTGGCATTGTGCAGATTCATTTTGCCAGATCTAGGGTCTTCCAGCAGTCACCCTCTTGACCTAGGTCAGCAATACCTCCACAAGGCACTTGATGTAGGCCTCCGTTTTGAGACTGAGGCCCTCACCAATAAATTCGGGAGTGCTTTTCTTATCAGAACGATCAGATTGAGATTTCCGAACTGCGGTACCTTTGTAATCCCCATTAAACTCATCCAACTATTTCCGAATTATCTCCACAGTCCTCACATTCAAATATTCTGAAATGTTCGTATAAGAGCTTCCGACTCGGATACCAAGCAGTACTGCGTAGCGTCTCCAAATTTCTGGCGGAGTGAATTGCATCATTGTACTCTTTTTCTCACAGACGGTGCCAAACTGACTATAATCTGCAATTGACAACATCAAAAACAAACAACACGCATGCGCAAAATTAAAAAGTTGATCTGGCGACAATTTACACATCGCTTTCAGTGTATATATATATATATATATATATATATATATATATATAAATAATAAGAAATAATAATAAAAATATGAGGTTACTAACATCGTTTGACAATAGAGTTTAATTTTTATAATTAAATTTATAAATTTAGTTTCAGTTTTGAAACAGAAATTTGTGTCGCGATGGAATCATATTCTTAAAATAGAAAATAATTATATATATATATATATATATATATATATATATATATATATATATATATCGAGTGAGAGAGAGCGGGGTATAGAATGAGAACGAGAGAGTGACAGAGGGAGATAGAATGAGAGAGAGAGAGAGAGATGTGGAACAAGGTCACCGATGTTTTGTTCCGTATAATTGAAAAGATTTTAAAATATATTGAAAATATTCAACCTTTAATTTAGTGAGACTTTGAAGAAAATAACAGGTGTAAAACTTTTGCGACTGACACAGCTTTTCTTTCGTTCATATTGATATTTTCATACCTGTTTTTCTTTTAAATTGTTTTATTCTTACTTTGATATTCATTTGAAGCTGTTCTTTGTTTTGCTGCTAACCAAAGGTTGGTTTGTGGCATGTAGTATCTTGCAGGTGGACAGCTGAACGTGTTTAAAATTTCTTTGCTATTTTAAGTGACCAATGAATTCCACATATCAATTATTGAGAGGGATTTAATGTCAGTGACTAGTGATGAAGATATTTCTTTTTGTGCTTCATTTTTTATTATTCTCACTTCTTTTTTTAAAACCCATGACCGACGATGTCATTTATTGGAGTGTGTTCTTTGTTTCACAGATGCCAACCACACACAACATACTTAAAAAGAGGGTGCTGGGAAAATCATACAGGTGGATACTTAAACGTAAGGTCAAAGGCGAGGTATGTGAGATACACATGACCAAAGAGTGATAGAACCGATCATTCACACTCATCTATCTATCTCAGTCTGTTCATATCTATCTCTCTATCTATCTATCTATCTAAGTCTGTTCATATCTATCTCTCTATCTATCTATCTATATCAGTCTGTTCATATCTATCTATCTATATCAGTCTGTTCATATCTATCTATCTATCTATCTATCTATGTCTGTTCATATCTATCTATCTATCTATGTCTGTTCATATCTATCTATCTATCTATCTATGTCTGTTCATATCTATCTATCTATCTATCTATGTCTGTTCATATCTATCTATCTATCTATCTATGTCTGTTCATATCTATCTATCTATCTATCTATCTATCTATCTATCTATGCCATGTTATTTTATCACCTGAGCTATGATGACTCTGTGACTTCCTTTTCTTTCTAATGAATCTTTACCCTCCCTATATTTCCTTGTTCAGCCGTGCATTCACACAGTCATTAAGTAGGTTATTCGGTTTTCCTCATGCCCTTTCCTCTTCAGTATATCCTATGAGTGTCAAATTCTTCAGACACTCTTTTCTAAGTATATGTCCAAACCGCTATGCCACACACGTTGTACCAAATCACCCTCATTCCCTTGGTAAGATGTAAGTTTCACTCGAGCAGCTTCTTTCAACTCCCAAGAAGATGCTTCCCCGATAACTATAATCTTAACCTGTTCAATTCTAAGGTTAACCATTCTCTTTCCCACATATCCGCAAATGCGGAGAAATTTGGAGGTTACAGAAATGTGGTTCTACAGGAAAATACAGAGAATTTCATTGGGCGGAGCAAGTAAACACAGTCTTGCACAAAATGGTAACAAAAAGAACGCAGAATCAGGAAGAAATCCCATTGGTACATAATGAGGAAAGAGGGCTTGCAACACTTGATCCTCACAGGGCATATTGAGGGCAAGAAAGATAGGGGAAAGCAGCGAGCCACTTAGCTGATGAGCTTGTGTGAATGGCAAAACGAGGTGAGGCGGCGGCTTTAACAAAAGTGGAAAGACTGTTATGAGCCACAAAGGATAGGAAGTTGTGGAGAGTCATGACCGCCTATGTCCTGAAGGGATGCGGCACATAGAAAAAATATGTCCGGAAATTATCCAGCTATTTTATATTAATGAACAATTAGTTTGTCCAGGGCAGTAGTAGCTTAGTCTTTTTTAAAAGTATTCCTCTTAGTATCTCATATACTTATCCCTGTATACCTTCGACTTTTCAAAAGTATCAGTAAAATCCTTTTAAGGTATTGCATCGTCACATTCTTCTTAATCTCACCAACGTTCCAAAATTTCCATTTCAGTGATAATTTCGGCTCTGAGAACACAGATAGAATTTACAAGAAGCCAAATATGGGTCGTATACTCGATGGCAGACTTGGGTGATGCTATACTATGCTAAAAAAAAAAAAACATAACAAAAACTATACACAACATAAAGAATAACTGTGATATTCCAAACGGCTGGATATTTTCCTGAAACTTTGTAGAATCGATGAATCATTTTTTCTAATATTTGAATTGTTAATCGTCGATTTCTTTTGATTGCAGTTCGATCACATTCTAAATTTTCGTGTGTTTAGCATGTTGAAAGCCTGATAGAATGTAAATCACTTTCAGTGGATTTCGGTCCAAGTTTAAATCGTCGATACTAAAAATATTATCGGGGATTTGCTGATTAAATCATCTCCGAAACCTTAGTCAATCATTCGAGTTTCCGTAAATGACTGTTTAAATTACAATTAAAACTCGATGCAAGTTTCTTGCGAATAAGACGGTCACTCAATACACAAGTTCACTTAATTTTTTCATGCTGATTGCATAAACTCGCGGTAAAATTTCTCTTAACACGTGCGCAATGATTGCCTACCAGCGTACATCAAGGTGTCGCAAACAGTTCTCGAGGTATTCAAAATGGATTGATAATTTCCAGACAGATCAGTTATGATACGTAATCATTTTTTAATCGTGTTCACCCCAAACAAGACAGTAAAGCCACTAAGACACAAGGGGTTGCTGGATGTGAAAAAAATAGAAAACATAAATATTGCGAAGGTACAAGAACAAAAGAAGAGCAATCAGGAGGACAGAAGATGGCGATTGGCATTGCATTTCAATTTTTGAAGATTAAAGTTGACTGGAAATAAGAGAGTTACATAAGCGAAAAGTGTGAGGAAAGAAACTGTTAGCATAGAACTTACGGTTACATCTAACTAACTCAACTGTAAATTGGTTAGACCTCATCGCTAGTCTAGTACTGCACTTAAATTCATAATGTCTAGGTATCATAAGGGCTCATCCAAACAATTACCATAAAAGTATTTATAGGAAAAACACAAGGAGAGAAGTGGCTGAAACCAAGATGCCAGGTCAGGACCAATAATATTACATTTGCTTGCAGAAATATGTCTATTAATATTATTAGCATACATTTTACGCACATACATACACACAGACACACAGAGAGAGAGAGAGAGAGAGAGAGAGAGAAGAATGAGAAGAAAATAATTTTTTTACTAAAAATGTTAAAAATTACATTGTTTTATAAATTATAATCACTAATAAGTATACTAGTACATAAGAACTGTGCAATCCAATTATCTTATGCTTTTACTTTCAATCGACTGTAGAAATATACTTTTCTGTCGACGGAAAATAATGTTTTAATAGAGATCATTTTACGCTGATTTGACTGTTAACCGACCATACTATTTTTTCCTTTTCTCCCCTAATACACAATACAATGTTTGCGGTAGGTTGGTAGCTTTTACGGCTTTTTATGGTCCATATCAAAGAAACATCAATGTTGATAACCCTTGAAACCAAGTGAGGGCAGAACGTCGATTTGACAGTTTTATAGCCATCAGTCTTCCCCGATAGATCTATTCTTATCACTTTCTCTTACCAAGTCGGGGATGCTTACTGAAGCGTGAATTCATTCAATCAGAACTTGGCGAGTATGCATGGATCGGACAATTCAACCAGCTTTGTTGTTTGAACATGCCAAGTACAGGACGCTGAATGTCGGCCTGACGAACTTCGAATTTCTGAGAAAGGAATCATACTGTAAAAACGTGAAAAATATGAGATTTAACTGTAGCTTTCAGCAATGCTATATTTGAAAGGTTTATCAATTTCTAAGCCCTTACAAGCTTACAAAAATTGAATATAAACTATATATATATATATATATATATATATATATATATATATATATATATATATATATATATGGGAAAAGTGTATATAAATATAAATAAATATATATATGATTGTATAATTATTTATATATTATATGCAGTGGTACTTCGTTAAAGCGTGAAACCTAGGGTCACAAACTCACATATATCCAACCAAAAATATATATATATATATATATATATATATATATATATATATATATATATATATATATATATATATATATATATAGATAGATAGATAGATAGATAGATAGATAAACCTAGTGAGCCAGACAAACCTACCCAGGTTTCACCTAAGCGGATCGTCAGGGAAAGCTGGCGGGTTTTTTTTTCTTTGGGCTTCAAACCTGTATCTGTGCGAGTTTTTTCGACAGACTTTCATGTTTCTAGCTCTTTCTTTTTTTAAAACTTTTTTTTTCCTTCGAGATTGATTTGATTATTGGCAAATCAAAAATTCGAAGGTTTTTCGAAACGAGTATAGTTACCTATATATATATATATATATATATATATATATATATATATATATATATATATATATATATATATATATTTAAGACATTTTATGTTTAACATTCTTTTTATAGATACAAATATTTAAGTAAATGCTTTGTTTATAATAAACAGTATTAAAAAACATTTACTGGCCTGAATGTTCGAGAAATTTTCACAGAAAATATTCGTCTTCTGAAAATTTCTCGGACATTCAGGTCGGTAAATGTTGTTTAATACTGTTTATTACAAACAGAGCATTTACTTAAATATTTGTATCTATAAAAAGAATGTTAAAAATAAAAATGTCTTAAAATAATTGTCGGACTTTTGTCCATTTCATAATGTATATATATATATATATATATATATATATATATATATATATATATAATTATTTAAATAAAACAGACCACTTTAAGCTTCCATGTAATAAATTATTTCACCACAGCCCGTTTAAAAGGACTGCTGGGTTGGAAGTAAAGTCTGATGATCCGCAGTCCTTTTAAAAGGGCTGTGGTGAAATAATTTATTACATGGAACCTTAAAGTGGTCTGTTTTTATTTAAATTATTTGCTCTGGATTTACATTGAGCTCTCTGGATTTTATCCTACTTAGGTTTAGCCATACGGATTACCTAGTTTTTCATAGCTATTTCGGTTTGTAGTTGAACAAACCAATACCGAAGGAAAAATGAGGAATTAAAAAAAGAAAGAACTAAGAACATGAAATTGAGGCGAAAACGATCGTCCAGAATTCAAGCTCAGAGTCCAAAGGAAAAAAATCAACAAAAAACAAAACGAGTAAAGTAACTACGTAAAATGCTCAATACTCTAAGTAGAGCAAATCTAATATAAACCTGAAGAGTAGGGTAAACCTACCTAGGTTTCACCTAAACGGATCGTCAGGGTACAATACCTATATATATATATATATATATATATATATATATATATATAGAGAGAGAGAGAGAGAGAGGTAATTAAAAAAGCTATTTATAAAGTTTAAAATGCATTTTAAAAATGAAAAATATTTATTGAAGTATTTTCTTAGTTTTAATTCCGAATTAGTAGATTAAATTTAATATTTCCAGTAAGCAAAATACTTTTTGATTTTGCATTTCAAAGCGAATTAAAGTTGATATATTGACAAATTTGACAACACATAATTCTCTTTATTAAAAAAATATTTAAAAATTAACATATACTTACCTGAAACTTTATTTGAAAATGATAAACTGATCTAAACTAAAGTTTAATTAATGTGAATTAGAACAAATATTACTCACTTTTAGTTTAAACTATCACAGAAAAAAAGATTTTAAGATGGGGGTAAATGATTTTATGAGATGTTGACAGATTTATCGATAGCTTAATTTTTTGCATTTTTAAGTAAAGAGCACAAAACTGCAAAAATTGCTTATGAATGTAACGTGAATGCCTTTATTTATATATATATATATATATATATATATATATATATATATATATATATATATATATTTATTTAACTACCCAGTAATCTGAAAAAAATTTGGAAAATATTCTAAGTAATGTCATATTCTATTGAATTTTAGGTACTTTGGCTTTATAGTCTTACGAAGACGCTTTTTAAGGTAATGATGGAAAATTAGCAATAAATTTTAAATTTGCTAT